AGGCGCTGGTGATGGTGGTGTTCCTGGGCTGGCTCTTTGTCCCCATTTACATCAAGGCTGGGGTGAGTATCAACTTAATGGTGACCCTAAGACTAAATAGGACTCTAATTTGAACCGTGATCCTTATTCTGACTCTAAATCTAATTCCAGATCTCTAACCCTAATGACGTCCCTAATTCAAGCCCAACCTTGACCAAACTCTATATCTGACCCATAACAAACCCTCACTAACCCTAATCCTTATCCTAACTCATCCCTTAGCTCAGGTCTACCAACTCCTGACCCTAACTCCCACCTTGACCCTGACCCCAGTTCTACCCCTAAATCTTACTCCAAGCCAAACGTAAAACTAACCTTTATTCTAACCGATTCCTGACTTCTATCCTAATTAAACCCTGATCCTAACTCCACCCCTAAGCCATCTTTTATCCTGAACCCTAACCCTATTCAATCCATCCCTTACTCCAACCCTACTCCTAACTCTTATGCTAACCTCTATCTTCCTCCAGCCTTTAATCTAACTCATCACTTCACCCGAACAGAACCCTTACCCTGATTCTAACCCATCTCTGACTCTAACCCTGACCTTTGTTCAAATCCATTCCTAACAACCCTAACTCTCATGTGACGGCGCAAGTGGCGCCACCTATGTATAGAACTGTTAGTTGCAAGGTTTAAACTGTTGTATCATGCTTAATCCTGCCCCTTTTACCCTGCTTATGTATAGTTGTATGGATTAGTTACTTATAGCTGTCAGTCAGTACTGTTTGGCTCCACCTCTTCCTGCAGGAGGGGAGTGCTTCCTTTCTTTTCATTCTGCCATCAGAGTTCCTACCATATGGACGTGAGTAAGAGACTTGACTCTAAAAGACCCTGATTTAAGTTACCTCTTAGCACCAGTTCTGAGGTTTTTTATCCTTGAGACTTGTGTTTCATGTTCAGACCAACCTGAACATTGGAAGTCTCAAGCGCCTTCAAACCGGTTCTTTTGGCACCAGAGGAAGATCCCGAGTCTTCAAGCATAGGCCATCTGAACTGGGGTTGTGGTTTGCTCCGGCATTCACAGCCATTGAGGAGAGAGGAAACTTGGTGAGGCTTCTCAGCTTCAAACCCCTTGGACCCAGGACTAATTGAGACTGTAACGTATGTTTTCCTTCACCCCTCTGAAGTTTCCAGCTCATTGCTTTAAGAAATAACTCTTTGTGATCAATAAAACTTATTTTGAGTTATTTACAGCGTTTTGGGTTTTTGGGAGTTCCAGTTTCCTATAGGAGGGCAAGAAGCAATCCCTTGGGGAAAAGATGCCACATCCATCCCTCCTTCATTAAGACTAATAGCCCCCAAGCTCGACGGCACATTCATCTGAACTCTAAACTTATTCTAAACCCACCCTTCAGGCTTTTACATTCACCCTTTATGGATGTTGTTTTAATGTGTTATTATTGCTTTTATAACTATTTGTTTTATACTATTTAAATTGTATTTTATTTAAATTGTACTACGTATTTATTACAGTACAAGGCATTGAATATTTGCCTTCTAACCCACCCTTGACCCTAAAACATAACCATATCCAATCTTACTGCAACCTTARCCCTTATTCAAACCCAATCGTAACCCTAACTGACCCCTAACCCTTGTTCGAACCCAACCYGCCTCCCTGTCCTAACTCTACCCATCCCTTACTCCCACCCTATTCATAGCTTTAATTGTTCTGTCRTGTGCTGGRCCTGTAACAGCTGTACTTTTCTATAGGAYGTATACTTTAAGCCCAGCGGGAAKCCAGGGCGCCTCAAAGAGAGGTTCTCAGGGATTTTTCTGAAGTGATGGTCTTTAGAGYCTTTAATGATGCAACAAAGTCTTTATTATGGAACAAACAACAMATMTTCAATGGTTCAAACAACACTTCAAGGCTTTCTTAGTCTAGTYCTCAATGGRCTGGYACCTGACTTTGAYTAACTGTACTTTCTCTGWAGAAGAAAAAACCCTTTTTAACCTCTCCCAGGCTGTTTACYATCTATGYYTCATYGGTGTGGGWSCTACTACYGATTCCAARTGCRTCTGGGTATCGAGTAGACCTACCAGCCGAGGCTTGAAKRTATTTCAGCTGGAGTTCWGTGGATCTGTAGTGCTGTCCTCCCTCAGAGAATTCTTTGAGAACTTCAGGGCTATTTTCCCTCTGTTTGCTGTGAGGCTGTGAGCTCTCAGCCAGAGCTTTTGAGACCTTTCTCCTGGAATTTCTGCTTCTGTATCCCCAGATGTTATGCTCCCCTGGATGCTCCTTTTTCCCTGGATGGTTATTGAGAAAGGAAGCTTTTCTACGGGACGAGCTGGTCTACGTCCTATAGTCTAGCTTCCTTGTGTGACACTGCCCAAAAAATGGCTCCTTTCCCTCCCAGAGCCCAGAACAAGGGGCAGAACCAAAGCTTAATTATGATGGACAGGAGGCCTGCCCTATGACTGCAAAACAGACAACAGAAAGAAAATAAAGTTGGAGCTCCTGGTACAGCTGTACCAGCACGCTAATGCTACCCAACTTCAACATCATATGGAAGTCTCATAATAACAATAGCCCTAACCCTTATTCTAATGAAGCCTTAGTCTAACCATAACCTCAACCATGACTCTAATTGTAATTAGAGTCATGGATGATCCTCAGCCTCACTGATCTTGGACCCCTGATCCTAACCTTTAAGGCACCAAACTAACTGACCCCAACCCCTGAATCTTCTGACCCTCATCAGGTAGTGACAATGCCGGAGTACCTCAAGAAGCGCTTCGGAGGGAAGCGGATCCAGATCTACCTCTCCGTCCTTTCACTCCTACTCTACATTTTGACCAAGATCTCGGTGAGTGGTGGCCACCTTGGAAGTTGGGGGCCCCTTTGAGGGAAGGGGTGGAGCCTCCAAAGGGCAGAGACTATCCAATATGGCCTGAAGCATCCTCCATCCATTGCTGCCATTGGCTTTTGCTTTAAAGGAGGGGGCAGAGCCTCAAGGGGAGGAAAGTCCCTCTCCTGTGTTCTTACCAGGTGTCCTTGAATGGGTGGTGGGACCAAGAGGAGGCCCTTCCTAGTTGTCAACCAGGTTCATAGAAATTGATACGGTCCTTCAGGTAACCTGGACCGGAGCCATAAAGGGTTTTATAGGTTATCACCAACCCTTTTAATTATGCCCAGAAACAGACAGGCAGCCAGTGGAGCTACTTCAACAGGGAGGTTGTCTTCCTCCTTAGCCAACCCCAGTGAGCAACCTGGCTGCAGCTCTTTGGACCAGTTGAAGCTTTTGAGCACTCTTCAAAGGTAGCCCCATGTAGAGTGCATTACAGTCATCCAGGCGGGACGTAACTCAGGACCATATCACAGTGGGATATAATGTTTATATCAGTATGTATCTGATATTCTTTAAAGACTGGATTGAGGCAGGATGCATCCTCTCTCCTCATCACACCTGGTAATTGTGATTCTTATACTGCTCTTTGACTCATCATTCCTTGGAAGGCTGTCTCATAGAATCAAAGAATCATAGAATCAAAGAGTTGGAAGAGACCTCCTGGGCCATCCAGTCCAACCCCATTCTGCCAAGAAGCAGGAATATTGCATTCAAATCACCCCTGACAGATGGCCATCCAGCCTCTGAAAGCTTCCAAAGAAAGAGCCTCTACCTCACTTCGGGGCAGAGAGTTCCACTGCTGAACGGCTCTCACAGTCAGGAAGTTCTTCCTCATGTTCAGA